TTGCAAATACATAATAATAATAATGACATTTTTATCCTTAAGACAGGGAAGTGATCTTGAAATCATTATTTAGGTCATAATACGATGTATCAGAAGTGATGAGTTCTATCTTGTTTCTAGGAAATTTTTCTCATTACTGTGAGACATTTTATTTCCTGTTAAGCTAGTTCTCATAGTAGAAAATTATATATAAAAGTAATATAATAAGTAGTCTGTTACTGAATGATAAAATTAGGAATGTATATACAAGTTATACTTTCTTATAAATGTGCTGTTAACTTTTTATTTAGTTCCTCTTTTTTTGGTCATATTCCTTTGCTAATTTTGGCCTAAGTGATAGGAGTAATCATCTGTCCAATACCTATGAGAATAACTCATATGATTTGTTTATGCTATTAAAGCAAACTGTTATTAGAAGGGTGATATAAATCATGTGATGAGATCTCTTTGGTTGTTTAATTTTTAGTTTGAATTCTAACCCATTACAAGAGAATCACTGTAATTCCATTTTAAAGAATGCTCAGTCTTTTTTAGCCCCATCATCAAAGTATAAAGCCTATCGAAAGAACTACCTAAAATTCATTTCATTTTAATTTTGATGGTAAAGAACAGTGAAAGTAAGCAGTAGGAAAAAGTGTTGGCTTAAAAGTCCAAAGAACACAGTACTGGTTGTAATTTTGCCACCAAGTACCACAAATTAGATGGCAACTTATTAAATTTTATTTTTATCTCCCTTATTGACAAATTAAAAGATATGCATTAGATAAATTTTAGGATCCTATCACACACAGGATCTATCTGGTTTCCTGGATGGAATTTTATTACAACTAAGAACTCCCCAAATTGTTACACCTCCCATAAAAGTAAATGAAACGTAGTTACACAGTAAAGAGGATGTTGAGTCCAAAAATAAATGTCCCTTTGCCATATGCAGATGGTTTTCTAACTCCAAAATATATTACTGTGTGGTAATATTCATGGTAAAAATTGCTTGCATATCACCACACAGTAATATATTTTGGAGTTAGTTTTATATCTAGCAATAAATACAAAGACATGCATGAGAAATCTATCATGTATCAAATTCATAGGGCAAATGTATGAAATTGTGAGTATTTTCTAAAAACTTATACTGATTTATTAAAGGGCTGCCAATATTTACTGATTTCTGGAATGTCAAGGAACACTCTGAATGACTTAGCAAACGAAAAAGTATTTTAAGTTTTTAAGAGAAAATCAAACTAAAACTTTACCTCAATTTTACTAAGCAATATCTTTGTTCTTACTTTATTTGTTTGCTTGTAACCAGAAATCTTGTAATCCCTTAGACCATCCATATCTGTTCATATATTGGATTTTTTTAACATAAATTGTAGAAGACTAGAAATACTTCACTAAACAAGCAAACAATAATTATTGCTTCATGATAACTATAAAACTTTATTGCTATGCATTTTTATATTTTAAATACTCCCTATTTGCATGACAGACCATAATGTCTTCTGGCACTTTGCAATCTGTAGCTTATAACAGAATCTCTCTTCCACAAATCCTCTTCTTCATTTAGTCTCTATTTTAACTACTGTTGAAAGAGACTAAACAAAATTAATTGGCACTATAATCCTTCAATAAGGAAATTGTAGGCAGTACAGTATTTCTGTGCTACTGAAATAATCTCATTATTCAGAAGAATTCATGTTTAACATCTCAGATATATTCTTCCTTCTATTAAGGAGAGACTCATAATCAAGTGCTTCTCAATTTTAGTCTGCACACAAATCACTCAGGCATAGTGTTAGAATGCCGACTTTGATAGAGTCAAAGGCCAGAGGCCCAAGATTCTGCATTTCTCACAATCGCAAGTGCTGATACCTTGGCTATTGGTCCTCTGACCACACTGTAAGTAGAATCACTTCCATATATTAGCTTGCATGTTCTGTAGGTAAGTGGAAAGTGCCGATAACAATATGCACGCATGCACACATGCACAGACCACACACACACGCAAACTTTACCTGATCCATATGATGAGTATTTTCTACCCTCTAGTGTCAGAATCAATTGTGACAATCAGTGGAATTATTTAACAAACAGAAACAACCCTTTACCTATGGAAGTCTTCCAAGTAATATTAGGTAATTCACTCTAAGGTGAGCTGGGTTATATGATATATAAGGATTTGGATTTAAAATCTCACAGGAAACGTTCTTACTCATAGAATATTGGGGACCAGTGATTGCATTTAAACTTGATTTTTTCATCTGGGTCATGAATTTATATTAATTCTATTGTCAAAGCAGTAACTGTGTATGGACGTTCCTCAATACAGTCTCCCTCTTGTATAATTCCTGTAGTTTATCAAAATCACTGAAGTCAGAGACTCATCAGAGCAGAGAGTTGGAAACCACTTATGTTCATTCAGCAATACAGAATGTTCTCTATACAGTAGTTGCCTTTACCCCCAGAGGGTGTTCCAAGACCCCCAGTGGATGGCTGGGAATAGAACCCTGAATTTTGTCTTGTACATACATACCTATGATTAAGTTTATTTTAGAAATTAGACACAGTAAGAGATTAACAACAACTAATAATAAAAGAAAAAAATCATAACAATATAGTGTGGATGTGGTCTCTCCCTCTCTTAAAATACTATATACTGTACTAGCCTTTGTTCTTATGATACGAGATTACACAGTACCAACACGATGAGATGAAATGTGCGCCATGGGTATTGTGATTTCAGGGTTTGATTTTTCTTCTTTCTTTAGTAAATCTAGACTTTCACCCTTTTACTTAAAAGGAATACTCAATGGCTACTCTGACATATCTGAATTGCCAGCATCACTACTCTGTTTTTGAGTAAAATATCAATTACTTGAACACAAGTACTGCATACTGCAACAGGTGATCTGATAGCCAAGATGGCAACTAAGTGTTTAATGGCCTGGCAGCATGTACAGCCTGGATATTCTGGACAAAAAGATGATTCTTGTCTCAGGCAGCACTGGGTGGGATTGTGCAAAATTTCATCAACTTGATCAGAATGGCACAAAATTTATAATTAATAAATTGTTTATTTCTGGAATTTTCCACTTAATATTTTTGCATCTGAATAACCATGAGTAACTGAATTGGTAGAAAGAAAAGCTTCAGGTAAGAGTGGACTACTGAAGAGAGCTGTGCACTTGGAATAGGGCAGGAATGCAATTTTGTTTTTCATTTTTCTTAGTCAGTGGTAACTCCTATCTCTGAGTCATTTCCTCAAATACTGATGAGCAGAGTTCTGCAATTTAAAAAAAAAGAGTAGGATAAAAGGATTGGCAAAATATCACTGTCCTTTAGAGTCAGGTGATTTTCAAATATTTATGTGTAGATACCTATTTGAGCATACCTGCTTGTAGATATCTACTGTAGATATGTTTGCCTGTAATTTTTTTTTTACTATTGGTTTTGGAGACAATTAGAATTCCATAATAAATTTTGATTTTATCCAGGTGAGTTAATACTACCTAAGCATAGGGATGGGAAGAAAGGATGTTGGGGAAACTCTATCATTTATTAAGACAACAATATTCCATATTAGTAGGAAACGTGTAGTGATATGAAACAAATTTTTCTGTAGTTCACGTGCCTGTGAAGTGGCCTTGACTGATATTACCTGGTCCTCTACATGCTTCTGTTGGCAACTGCAAGTTAGGAAGATTCACACCATTTCACAGTGGATTCTCACTCACCTGTCTGCATGCTTACTGCCCATTGGATGGTCCAGTAGAGGTGTGGCTGGAATCTTAGGGGTGGCTCAGCACCATTTTCATCTCATCTTCTAGCAGACTAGTTTGGGCACATTTTCATAGACACACGGAGAACCTAGTACCAATGCTCACACCCATTTCAACCTTCTGCTTCAGTCTGATTTACTGACATCTCATTGGCCAAAGTAGTTCATCTGGGAATCAAACCCAGAGTCAGAGTGAGCTGGCTCCACAAAATTAGGGCTAAAGAACTAGAACCATGACTACAAGTAAGTTTTGGTCGCACACATTTTCTGAGGTGGTGAGGGATACATGAAATTCATATTGGTGTTCAGACAGTAAAATTTACAAAATGATATTTGATTTATTGAAGCACATGAACAAATCAACATTTCTAGCTATCTTAATATATTAACCAAGTTTGTTATCCCAAATCATTTTCTTTTCTAGTCAGATACATATGGGGAAGAAAACATCAATTCTTAAAGAATAACTTTGCCTTCTTGAGTGTTTAAAAATCATCACTTTGCAATGTCATTTTTGGAAGACAATTTCTGACATAATGTAGTCATTATCATTTAGTCCTACCAAATGAGTTCACTGAAGTTGTGCAGGATCTCCACAATATCTCTGTGAATCATGAGTTATAGTAATATCCTTGGTCACATTTTATCATGTGTGTACACTTAATATTCTAATAATTGTTCTCCTGGGAACCTGGAGTTAAAAGTGTTGGGTAGAGGATCAACTTTTAGCCTTTTTGAAATTGCAAAGGATTAATGAGAAAACAAAGCTAACTTGGTTACAATTATCAAGGTACATCTTTTTTTCAGAAAGAAGCTCCCAACGTCACTTTCTGAAATTGAGTCCTACAGTTTCTACAGTGAAAATCACAGTTGGCTTGAAGGAGAAGTATTCATTCATACACAAATACCAATTTTGAGTATGTTTCTACTTAACTAGAAGGGAATACGCTTGATCCCTCACTTCTGAGAAAGTTCACATTATACTTTAACTGATTATTTTTTCAACAATATTTATTATATTCTTTTATGATCTTCCAGTATTTTTTTGAAGCCCAGTTAGAACAGCAGCCAACAAAGTGGAGACTAAAATGGGGCCAAATATCTCTTCAGAACCAAGATGTTACTTCAAAAGATGTTCAGTACAAAGCACTACAGTGACTCAAAGAATCTCTTGTTTTTAAGGGGAATTTGCTTATATGAAATTGGTTTCTTATCTTTGCAGCCCCCAGTGAACCATTACTGTGCAAATTTGCTGATGGAGGACAAAAGAAACGGCAAAATCAAAGCAAATATACCCAGAATGGGAGGCCTTGGCCCAGGGAAGGAGAGGTAAGTCCTGACTGAAAACTTTTCTTAGAAATTTGGCAGCAGACACCTTTCAGAAAAATGGCAAAGCAGTCATTTAGGGCCGTTGGAAAATTAGGCCCCATAGAAAATGGAATGACTATAAAGGATCAAATAAGCAGGCCTGTATGAATGTGTCTAGGTCAAAATTACAGGAGAAGGAGTATGAGACTTAAAAACTAATCTCAGTTCTACACTACAGTAAGACTTCTGTCTTTAACCAAACTTGAACCTGAAAGGAATTCATTAAGAATCCACTGAGAATTGATATATAATGATATAATAATTATAAAATGTGGGTTTGATTACTTAAGCAAATATTTTCAGTAAAATCAATACTGAAAGTTGAATGTTTGTGTTTTGAAAAAGACAAGCAAAAATTAAAACATTTCATCTGGCCACTGGTGGTGGCCTACTTGCACATGAATATATGTTTATTCACATACCCATATGCTCACTGATGTGTTGGTATGTTTCATATATATATATATATACATATATATATATATATACACACACACATATATATAACATGCATATACACACATATATGACATTTTCTGTTGTCAAGAAAGAAGGAGTAAAGTTGATATATACAGGATTCTGCCATTCACAATAAGGAAAAGGAAAAGCAATTAACAGTTAACTAACCACTTATCCTGCTAATAAAATGGGCACAAAGAAAAGCTTATGAAACCTACATCATTTGGGAATGCATTCCTTTGGTTACTTAAAAAAAAAAAAGAAGAGTGCTTGGGCTACCGTGAGCTGTTTTCATTCTTTGTAAAATGGAATCAAGTTGTTTGGCTTGAATAAATGCCATCTTGTGCCAAAGCCATTATTTCAACAGGAGTGCTTTATGTAGTATTTCTATTCAAAGAACCTACTTTATCCATTTATCATTTAAGAGGCATAGTACTTTCAACAGTGAGAAAGCAGTTGTAACAAAAGAAAGGGGGCTTGTATTTTTCTCTGTAAAGCCTTTAGCCATTTTTTAGTTTCTGAGATTGTTTTGAGCATTCCCATGCAGGTTTCAAAACTCTGCTTAAAGTGTATTGTTATGTTCAAGTACTATATAATTTTTAACTTATTGTATTAAAACATGAAAAACAAAATTATCACTGAGTACTGGAAGCTAATAGAAAAAGCCAAGTTCCCACATTCTCAACTTCAGAAAAACAGTTTACACTGTGTTTTAAGAAGGAGGTGAGGGAATGATCCGTGTCTTAAGCATGGACTTTAGTGTATTCCTGATGCCACTCACCACATCCATTCCATACCAAACACTAGCAGTCTAGAAAGATCATTTGATCTTTACAATTTGGTTGGGTAAAATCCCTGCTGACTGTAACCCATAGGTTCTAGTGACTGGAAATTTAGTTCCTGTCTCCTCAAGATCCTGTAATATTATCTTCACACAATAGACAGCAGTTACACTAAGATATTTCACCAGAGTCTACATTTCTTGGAAATCAAGTCAAGGAACATAAAAAAAGACAGAACTACCCCTCTGGTACTATAAATAGAATTAGGGCTTTTGGCTCTGTGCATGACAAACACCATGTGTACTGCATCATGGATTCAAGTACCTTATAATTTAGATGTAGGTCTTAAAGGTATATTCCTCATTTTTGCTGTAAAATTTGATTTTTTCCTGTTGAACTATGAAAATCAAGGGATAATAGTAAATTTATCTATGACCAATAAAAACATATTGCAAATGTGTAGATACAGTACAATGAAAGGCAAGAAAATAGGAAATTAAGGGATATGCCCTGAAATACACTGGTCAAATATTTTGGTTTGGGGACAAATATGTTAATTTATATAACTTTATTGTGGTCTCAGAAGTAGATACAGCAAGAATGTTGGATAACTTTGTCCATCATTCTTTAAATTTTGTTTCTAACCTCTTTTACATTATACTTCACTAGAGTAACTTAAAGTATGTTAGCACGGTTAATGAAGTTTCATAATATAAAGAATCCTATAAGCAATATTTAAATAGGTTTCATATACTTGAAGATTGTAATTACGTATTTTATTGATTTTAAGACACATTTTGTTTACCATTGTTTTTCCATACTTTAATACTTTTAAAATAGATTTTTCTGCTTATGATCAATGACACCTTACAAGATAGTTTGCATTTGCTTCTGTTAGTCACCTAGGGGCACTACCTACATTCTCTGCTTGCAGTCTGTGACCACACTGACTGTGAGAATAAAAACACTAATCAAAACAAGGACTCCGGGTCCTATACTCAAGGGAGAATATTCTTTCTTCCCTTCCTTTAAAGATGTACTTTTCCTTAGGTTCCTTTCTGAAGCATGATTCCTAATGTTGTAAGGACATTCTTTTGGATATTTTTTTTGATAAATAAAACAATGGTATACATTTTAGTCTCACAAACAACTTAAAAATTAGACTCGCTTCAGACTTTGAAATAATAGCCCAAAGTATGTTTGCTTTTCCTCTCTTTTGAAAGTCAAGTAAAAATTACTAATATGAAGAGGATTCTGATAACTGATTAGGAAAAGAAAAACAGCAAATTGCAAGCATTTTAGAAGTAGCATAAACATGAAAACTGAAAGGCTAATTAAACTTTTAATTTATTATTTACAGTTGTCTTCTTTCGGGTGGCAATTTGATAGTGTTATTAGCACAGTTTGGTGAATTGAATTTCTTTATAAATATCTAATACTGAAAACTATGCTCACATAAGCAAGATTTTGAAATAGAAATAAGTGCTAGTACAAAGTTTTTGCAGAAGTGAAAAGCATAGGAATAAAGTTCTTAAGTAATATTTCAAGGGACAGGGCCAGGGATTTAGCTCAGTGATTTTGCCACCTGCTGCACAAGCGCAAGGACCCGAGTTCGATCCCCGGTGCCAAAAATAAAAAAAAAAAGAAAGAAAATATTTCAAGGGACAACTATAACTCTAAGTAGAAGGATCAAGAGATGGGTGGTAAAGCCCCTTTCCTCCTGTGTTGCACAGTTCTTACTGCCTTATTTTGTAAAGCAGCTGTCTAGAATTCATTGGACTCTGGATCCATTTGTATTCTCTAAAATATATTATTAGTTCATTTAAACATAAAAATTAACCCATCATAATATGAAAAGCACATTTTTATGAAAAATTACTATTTTTCCAGAGAAAAGGTGTTTTTTTTTTGGTACCAGGGACTGAACTTGGGACCTTGTGCTTGCAAGGCAGGCAACAGAACCACTGAGCTAAATCCCCAGCCCAAGCAAAGGTATTTTTTGAAAAGGGTAGCACTCTTTTATACTTTTGAAAATTAATGTCTGGCTCAGTAAAAGATGATCAAATTTGCATCTACTTAGCCCTCAATTTATTGCAATATGCTACCTTGTTTTAAACATATGAAGAAAATCTAACTTTGTCATGATGAGCCATTGAAAACCAGAGGACTTTTTATGTCTCTTGAGAATCCTCAGCCACAGGCCACACTTTGAGAACCTTTGTGCCAGAGAAGTCTGAGTCAATGACAGTGCTAATACACTCCAGGTCTGTATTCTCAAAGAGGCATGAAGCTTGTTAAAATATCAAAATTTGTCTGTATCATTTGGTGAAGAGCCACTACTGCCATTCGAGCAGCACCACCTCACTTCTTCCACCCTGGTACCTCCTCCAGAACCTACCATGATCCACAGGAGTGGGGTGTTGGCTGACATAGCAGGAGGTCCCCAGAACCCTATTTTAGCATTTATGTTCTTATGGGTCAGCACTTATGATGTACAAGAGCTGAAATATTTCTAATGTCACTGTTAGTTCTAATGTTGCTTACTTGATCATTGTTATGACTCTCATGATCTCCATGACATTGCATTGCCCAGATATTTTAGTATATATGAGGTTGTATTCTTAGTTCTTATTTCAGTCTTATTGACCTTAACTGTGATTCTCAGATGACTGTTCAGAATCAGGAATGCGTCAAGCAATTTCAAAAATGTGTCAGGTACACGAAAAGAAACTCTTACTGCTTCCTCCTGCAAAGAGTACATTTGCAGTGCAACCAAAGAACTGCCAAATTGGACTTTACCCCAAATAACAAGAACAGCTGATCAAAAAGCTAATAGCTGCAAGGTTTCTCTTCCCTGACTACCAAATGACAATCTTATTTATTGAAAGTTAGTGCCTCAGTAATCATAAGCTAGAATACACATTTATTCATTTCCTCCACCACTACCAACATCACAGTAACATAACTCACATAGACATATACACACTAACTTCTGTTATGTGTATTTTTACAGCTTTAATTCGATTATATCAGAAAGCTGATTGGGTCAAATCACAGGATTGATAAGTTTCTATTATAATAGTAAAAGTCACTCAAATTTTGATATTTTATGTTTACTGTTGTTGTAATTGGTCTTTGGGGTCCTTAAAATTTTTAAAGCTGCGTAAATGCTAAGTTTTAATTATAGAAAGAATATGAATCTGTCTCACTAAATTTTTATGTTGAGTTTTTATTCTTAAATACTACAAATATCAAAAGTAATCCAATTTTCCCTGGTTCAAAACTCTCATCTAGCTTTCACAGAATTTTCTCAAGCCCCATATTAATTGAGTCAGTAAATACGATAACTGTATGGGAATTATATATTTCTAAGAAGTAATGTTTTGGCCATGGACACAAACAAGAGACATGGCGATTGAACAAGAAGTATCAAACTCCCAGATGTTTAGTGAAAAATACCACATTTTATTATAAAATAAAGTCCAATAAAATGACATTTCTTGTCTTTATTTTATTTACAGTTCTCTGCCAGAATCAATTTAAAAACAATAAACATAACAAACATATTCTCTCTATTTGATGCTCTGAAGATCATTTCCCTTACTATGGAAAATTTAACAAGATTATCTTCACAGTTTAGATATGAAAATGAACTAATGAAATTAATGTGATATTGTTAACAACCAGTACTTGGCTTTTTAGGAACAGTGCACAGATTGT